TGCTGATGCAGCACAGTATTCAGTTAGGCCCTGCTGCCACAAGGGCGCACTGCAGACTTCTGTTCACTTTGCCCACCACAAAACGGGGGTGTCCCCCAAAAAAGGACCTTGCCCGGTCCTTTCCTGCAGAGCTGTTTTCTGGTGAGCGAGCCCGCTCTGCAATATTGCATGAGGTGGCTCCTTCCCAGATATAGGACTTGGCCTTTGTCCAAACCCCAGGAGGTTCCTGTCAAACCACATCTCCAGCTTGCCAAGGTCCCTCCAGACAGCAGCCCTACCCTCCAGCGTGCCGCCTGGAAGAGCAGGCCCCCTGATTTGGTATTAAAACCTGCACACTTGCCAAGTGCTTTCCATCCCACTGTACAGGTTATTGGTGAGTATGTTACCTGTTACTGACCTGAGGAACAGCTCTCAACTGGCTGTTGCAGACGCCAAATGGCTGCCCAAAGCTTGAAGCTTGGTGGCCCAGCCACTCCTAAAGCCACCTTATAGCCACCCACCCCATTTATGCTGCCATCATTTGCCTGCTGGAATTCTACGAGAGACGGTGTCAAAAGCCTTACTGAAGTCAATGTAAGGGGTCCCACAGCCCCCCCTTGTCTGCACAGGCAGGCACCTCATCACAGAAAGCACTCAGGCTGCTCAGGCATGATTTTGCCTTTTGTAAGGCAATCCCAATGTTGGCCATTCCCAGTCACCTACTTATTTTCATGTACTCTGATCCTCTTTCTTGCCATTTTTGAAGACAGGCATAAAATTGTCCTTCTTCCAGTCACTGGGGACGTCCCTCAACTGCAGCATTTCACTGGTGACAGGCTCGATTTGGCCTCCTCCTTTTCTGGTGCTTGGCAGGAGTTGGCTCTTCGCATTCAGCACCTAGCACAGCACTCTATCAATAAAAATAAATATCAATAGGAAACCAAACCAAATAGAAATATTTCTAAATCAATCTTACTTTAATCCAAAACCATTATAATAGCTAAGAATTCTAGATACTCAAAAAATATATATAGTTTTACCAGAAATAGTGGTCATTCCAATAAATACTTGAGGATGCTCAGATTGTCAGTTGAAACAAGGATGTTCAGAAAAAAATGCTTAAAAAAATATACTAGCCATAGTAAGAAAATCATCATGACCGCTGTGACCAGAAGGTGACAGCTGTGGAGATTTACTGTCCTATCAAGCATGAATAAATAGTACAGCATCTCACTTATTCAAGGTGACACGTTCAAAAGATACACAGTGAGGCTCACTGAGTTATTGCCAGATGCATAGAGATAGTGAAATACTTCTTGCAGAGCTTAAAACAACTATGCCCTCTTTTTTTCAGAAAAATGTGACAAACTCTTTTGCAGAACTTTTCTGAGCATAAAATTTATAGTCCAAGATCACAGAGTAAGGGAGTAAAACAAGGTAATTTATTTTTAATGAAATAATCTTTTTCTTACAGGAAATGTTTATTAGTTTACCAGTAGATGATCCCAGTGTAACATTATCATAGGAGTTCAAGTGATGATATGGACAGTGCAATGTGCATGCTAGCTTCTGTCTTCTTCTATCTGACCAAAATCAGAGGGAAAGATTTTATCATCTTTTAGACCTGCAGAAATGAGAAGCACACATACTAGTATCCTGCAGTGGTCATAGAAGATCCTATTCCTATTACTGTTCTAAAAAGTATATATCAGTATAGACTACTGGACAACATCTTCTGTTTGATACCCTTTATGGAAATCTTTTGCAGTACAGGGACCACGATCCAGCCACATGCACTAGCAGGAAGTTCCTTTTTTTTTGTCTGTGTCCGGTCTGGATCCTATTTCTTTTGCTACAGAAAGATGGCAGTGCTAGGTGATAATCCCTGACCCACACAGTGCCCCTTATGACTTCTGACTCCTCGTACAGGAACAACTTGCAGCTCAGAGTGCGGTGAACAGATCTAGAATAATAGACATATGAGAGGATGTGACCCTATTACTTTAACCTTACTACCTTGGTGGTTTGCACATTCCATATATTTATTCAAAATGGTAACTGCATTGCAAATATTATATTTCAGTTAACAAATCCATGAATTTCATAGCCCGCTGTCTGTAATAATATTACACCTCAGAAGTAAATATCCTAACATATAAAAAAAGCAGCTGATAGCCTTTGTGCAAGTATGATAAAAATTTTCCTTCTCGTGTACAGCTCATTTCTAAAATGTGAGATCCCAGCAGGCATAATGAGAGGGTTTGCCATTTATCATGTAATCATAATCTCAAATACTCAGTTCTGCATGTCATGGACAGGACTTCGGTGGCAAGTGGAGTTACAGCACACAAAATATAAGTTAACACAGCAGAGTACAAAGGGCATTGAACGTTAATCTGAGCATGAGTCTACCTTGGCTTACAATTGTAGTCTTTTAGCTCCTTGTGTTTCACAGGTTAAGTAATTCCTCTCATTGCTGAATGACATGACACCTTCTTTCACTCTTAGTGACTTAAGTATTTCTCCAGCATAAGGTGCTCTTTCAAATAATCAGCTGTTCAAGAAATCTACAAACCCCCAGCTAGTCCCCTCCTTAGCACAGGTTTTCTGTATTTTATATGGGAACATTTCAATTGCAGAAACTTGTAATTGCTTTAAATTTCTCATCACCAACAGTAGGTTATAAAAAGCCGGTAAAATAGTGTTTTAATACATAGACATCTCTTGTTTCCTGAAGAACCAATTAAAATACACACTTCTGTAAACATATCTCATGTTGGACAGAAACAGGTTCCTCATGCAAGTAACTCCTCTGAAAGTAGCTAAGCAGTTAAACCTGACTCCCTACAAGCACAAGTTAGGAAATCAGACACAAACAAATGCACGTGGAAGACTGCCTACCCACACCACTTGGCATTCTCACAGTCCACAGGGTTAATATAACTGTGTCTGCTTTCCCCAGAGAATGCTAAAAGCCCGGACGCCCTTACCTACCCCTTTGTAGGTGAGTCTCCAGCGGATCATTCTCTCCCTACACAGCTGACTGCTCCACTGAATGGTGGAATTGGGCAGAATTACACCTGCTAAAAAGTCTCTAATATATTGCAACTATGCGATATATGTTGGCCTGTAAATTCTCAATTATAAAGTTCCTGAAATTTTTATTCCTTGGCCTTTGTGGATTTGTAACGGTCCTGTTGGCTTTGTATTAACCCTAACAGCCTTAGTCTTTTTACTCTTGTACTCTTTACTTTTCACTTTGTACTGACAAAGAAAAGACCTTTACAGAACAGATCAAGCTTTTCAGCAGGGAAAAAGATCATTTCAAAGCTTCCCCAAACACCTGCCTTCAAAAGCCTGCTGCGTCAAGCAGCTGCCTACTCTGCCTATGCTTCAGAGCAAGTCCTGGCTCTGAATGACCTGCTTCCAGTCTCAGGTATGCCCAGGCTGGCTTTAAAGTTAATCCTTCATCTCCACCAGAGATGGCATAACCATGTTGTAGCATTTTGGTGCTGCAATAACAAAACCATAATCACCCACCTGGCTCTACTGCTTCTTCCTCTGAATCTCCAATGTAGTGAATGTTTACAGTCTTACTGCAAAAAAGCCCCAATAAAGGCTGTAACAGAATGTAGCAGGGAAAAGACATTAAAACACAAGGGAAGTAAACACAGGTTCTGTAATTACACTTCATTGCAACTCTAATGCTTTGTCTGCTCCTGAAGACTCCTTTAGCTAAATTTGTTTGTTCCAGTCTTTTTTTTTCTGTACCAATTAATAAACACAAGAAGCATGTATATTTTTCTTATTATTTTATTGAAAAGGTACATTTAAAAAAATACACAGACATTTTACTATTATGGATTGCAGATAAAGATGCTCTAAAAATTAAGTTTGTTTTTTTTTTCCTTTCTTCCACCTGTTGTCCCCATTATTACATAATGAATTCAGTATGAGTACTGAATACTCATTGATATCACCTTTATAAAAGGGCTGGGAAGGTAAGAAGATAGGTGGGGTATTACTGCAGTACATTCCGTAAACAGAGAATACAGTCAATTATAAATACTTTATGTTCTGTACATTATTGCATTAGGGAGCCACAACATTATGCAGCATTGTTTCAAAGGAAACTAGTTAGAAATGAAGAAAAAAGGATATTTACGTACAAATACATGGATCCATTGTCTTCTTGAACAATGCATGTGAGCTGTGGTAATGTGCATTGAAAAGCTTTTTTTTTTCTCTTTAGACATTGCTTAGCAATACCAGTAAGGAAACAACAAAAATAAGTTAAATGAAAGTAGCAAACAAGTAGTAATCTTAACTATATGTTATATGGCTTTCTATTTTTAATTTCTCTAAACAGAGTGTGACACAAAAGAAATAATTAAGAGCTTCAGCGCTGCATTGCTTTTAAACATTTGCACAGAAACTAAAAATATTAAAATCAGACATGTGATACATCTTTAGTACTACACAAGATACATCAGTACTGGGGCCTAGGACAGTACACAATCCCTGTCAACAAGAGCACACTGAAAAACAGGACGCAATGCATTTTTGAGATGTTACCCACAATCAAGCATTTGGTTCATCTACCTTTTTTCCCACATTAGACTATACCCCATTGGTTTTCAGAGAAGTATTTACATAAGTGTGAGCAAGGAAGACCCTAGTTTTCAAGTCTGTCAGGAAAATATTTTACGTTCCTTGATTCCAAGGTGCATCATATGCATTGGAAAAAAAAAAAGCATGAATCTTTAATGGTATAAATTTTATGAGCAATTAAGTTTTTACTAAATCACTCTACTTGGATTTAAAAAAGAGAGACTGAGAAAGAGAGTTGTCTAGACTCCAAAATGCAGTACCGTCAATGATGAATGTTATGGTGTGGCTGGTTGAGGTGTCATGCTGGATGGCATTTCAAAAGAGAAAGACATTTTAAAATCTCAACCCCTTTCCTGCTTTTCTTTTACCCTTTTTACTGGCCATAGTTATCTCTTTTATACATCAATAAATTAGTATGGTGCAAAAAGTATGGAGGCAGGTGTTGCCCGGATGGGACCATGGCCTGGCCTGAGGAGAGCTGGTGGTATCGCAGGCGCCTGGAACAAAGAGGCAGCGGGACGGGGAGGAAGGGACAGAGCCGACGATACAGCTGCAGCTGCAGCAAGAGGAGATGAAAGGAAAGCAGGTGCCAGCGGCTTAATCATGTCCTTCTGGAATGCAAGTTTTGCCTGGAATAAAACACACAAAAAAGCAATGTAAATACAGTTCTCCCCACACCCACTCTTACATGAGGGAAAAAATGAACCCTGACAAAGGGCACGCTGTGGTTTCTCGCAGAAGCCTCACGTCAGCTGCTTAGAAATTTTACCCACATTGTCTTCCTACTCCCAAGGCAATTAAAGCAACCATATCGTATATTTAAAGATACGTAAATCTCTCAAGTGTAGGGCAGCCACACTGATGTTTAGAATGAAGCATAATTTGCAAGTGAGCAACATTAAATTATGTAAATCACAGCTGTGCAAGAAATACTAAAAAAAATGTGATTAAGACTTCAATGCCAAAAGTCAAATTTTCCACTTGCAAAAATGCATTGCAGAAAAGTAGAGTAGTCAAGATGGAGAAACTAGTATTAGTCCAGTCAGCTTTTTACCTGTCAATGCAGAGCTGCTCTTTTCAAAACAGAATTTTTTTAAAGATCAATACCATAAAGAATTCTTTCTGAAAGAATTATTACTCAGTTTATGACCTACAATTGCTGCTGGTGCTTGTGGTGAAAAAGCTAACCAGAAATATATACGCTACAGTCTCACTGAAAATGGTTTGCACTACAATCACACATTTGTGGGGGCAATGATACTCATGTCCTTCTTTACTAGTGGAGGTCTCTCTTTATGCAATAAATCATAAAATGGTGTATTACACAAGTGAAGAAAATGAGCGTATGCACAACCTATTGAATGGAGAGACTTAGAGAAAGCCTGCAGTATTTTCATTTGCCTCTATACAGTTACAAAGACATATTAATATTTCTGCTTTTAAAGGCTTTTCACATGCTTACTCTTGTGCACACACATTTGCATCTCTCTTTTTTCAACCTATAAATTGGTTTTGTGCCATAGGTGGCATGCACTTTTCCCTAATGAATAAAATACAGGCCGAGTCATGAGCAAATAAACATACAATCTGTGCTGTGTTAGAGCCAGCCTGAACTCCAGCTGCAGCTGACTGGCAGAACCAGCTTGGGGAATTCCTGGAAAGGCAGGTGGGTGTGAAAGGGGAATGGCTGGGGCACAAAGGCAGGAGAGGTGGTTTGATAGCCAGTGACAGACACAGCCTGAGCATGCAGACAGGCAATCGATTCTCCTAAACACCCGATACCTCTTTTGCACCAACATAATACATCCACACAGCACTCTGTGTTGCTGTATGCAGAGAATGAGCATTAGTATTTTTATATTCTAACATCTTATGTCCTTTCCCCTAACTGCATCCATCATAACTGAGAATTATCTCAGGTGCCCAGGAAGACAGAGTATATACATGGCAGCCTTCAAGGAGAAGTACACTAGCCCAGCAGAGCTGATACCCTTCCACGCGGAACATGGTTCATTCCCCATTCTACTGATTATTCCCTTCTCCCTAGCAGTAAATAACACTTACAGTGCTGTCTGCGTGCCTTTGACTGGGCAGACAGAATACATAACTATCTTCAAATCTGATCCCCATGCAGACTCGGCCTGCAGGAGGAGAAAGATGACAGAAGCATTGGGTCTGTCACGTCCCCGTGCGGTGGGAGTCCCCAAGGTCACAAATTCACATAGACAGTGATGAGAAATAAAAATACTTACTGCTAAAATACTTGAGCTGCGCTGCAGTTTGTTGTAAGGACTGTATTTAGGTTTCATAGGCTTTCCTGCAACTCTGTCCTTATGCCTTCGGCTGGAAATGTGCTGAAATAAATAGCCTCACATTTAATTAGCTGTTTAAACACTTCCCAGTTTTGAGTTTGAAATTGATTTATCAGCAGGATATGCCTAAGCCCCTGTTTGCAAGATAAAGTCAGTTCTTTAGAGAGAGCAAAGATGAGTTTTGCTAAATTAAACATAACAATTTGAAGCACATCAAATCGAGAATCAGAAACTAATCAAATACAGCAAATTCTGTGATCTGAGACAGGCTCTGCAAACTATTGATATTTTGGTTAGTATTTCCTTTTTCCACTTGAGGAGTTGTGAACCAGCCAGAGCTGTAATCACTAGGTCATAGTGGTTTCAGTCATTCAGAAGTAGGAGGTAAATTTCAGTCTCGCTGATGCTGTTCAATTGTATAAATAATTCAAGATTAGCTGAAGGAAGAACTAGTACCCAGGGATATGTCTACACTATGCAATTTAATACTATCTTACAGATAACTGAAATAACAGGGAATGAGAGGACACATCCACACAGCGCAGCACCATCCAGTTAGAGATTCCTGTTTGGACATCAGAAACAACGTATTTGTATTGGCATAGCTCTGAACCCAGGGCTAATTGGCTTGGACAGAGCAGAGCTGCATGTTCATACAGCTATGCTGTTCATGATTATGTTGCTCCACACAATTCAGACATATCTACAGTATTACCCTCTTGCTGATTGTCCTAATCCAATAGATTCAAGTCACATTCTTCTTCTCACACAGTATTAAAAAGTATCCCAGCAGACTGAAACAGCACCAAAAGAGGAATTCAGGGAACCTCAACCCAGAATTTCTTCCATTTGGGAGACCAAAGTTCAAATCTCTCTCTTGAGCCATGGCAAACTTTAAAACTAGATCTGCTATGTTATTCATTGATACCGACATCTTGTCCACCTCTTCTTTACAACTCTTAAGCCCATTTTTTTCCCAGCTGAAACAATTAAGTGAACTTGACCTACGGTGAACTATTTAAAACTAGTTGTGGGATGACAGAAAAGAAATACTAAGTTCACTTTTTTTGCCAAAACATTTCACACAGACCTACACCCCACCTACAACATTGCAATGCAACTAAAAACAATAAAGGAGCCCCAGATACATGCAAGCTACCTGTTTAAGCTGAATTTCTGAATTAACATGGACATCACAGATTTCACAATGAAATGTCTTGTTCTGCAGTCCTGAGCCTTTACTGCCATTCTGCACCTTCAGTCGGGATCCAGGTCTGGGGTAAGACTTGATGGGACCAGCACCATTCCGAGCCTCAACCATGGTCTTGTGTTTGGAGCCTAATGGGCAAGGAGACAGAGGTGAGTTAATGATCAGCAACATACAACCATGTCCATTAGCCTTGGGACTTCTTGTAACACATTTATCTTCAAGACAGAATGGTCAAAAACGCCACAGATTAGGATTAATGATGACTCTGTTTTTGGAAGTTCTCTTCCTCAACCCAAAGGGAAGCCAGCCAATGGAAGAAGGGTTTCTACAAAAAGAGAACAACAGGCACGCTGGACCACTGCCTTTTTACAGTTGTAAAACCAGCTTCAATGGTTTGTTAAAAAGCTTTACATCACTAGCACATCACAGAGCAGCCAGAGCACATTAGGGATTGCTGCTTGTGGCCTTTTAAAGGGAGTGTACATAATTTGCAATAATCAAAAGATTCTAGGACATCTAGGAAATCTAAGGAGCCCACTCTAAAATTATCAAAAATACCATATAACAAATTACTGTAAGTTGTACCAGCAAAAAAACAGACACCAGAGATAGTTAGATGAAATACGAAAGAGGGAGAGAACTGACATTTTAGAAACCTTAGTGTTACAGAAACCACCATGATCATACTATGATCCTCACTATGGAGGTATGATGGAATCTGATTAGGTAACATCAACTGTAGTGATTTTGTCAACTAAAAGCTTACAGAGTACATGAAGGAAAAATATCAAACACCACACGTGAAACTGCCATTAACAGAAATGTTTTTGTAACCTGCCATTGTAAGTTTTAACTAAAAGACTCTTCAGTGAAGTGTGGCTACCACAGTGTCAGGAAACCAGCTTGTTATACTGAATTTTAAAAATTATAACACACAACTGACTTTCACTGTATGCATACTCACCTGTATTGTGGGCTTCTAGTTGTGACAGAGAATTCACAGCCACTTTGCATAATGAACAGTAAAGTAGTTTTTTGGCTTTTTCCTCTTCTGACTCAGAAACTGTGTTTGGGGCTCCATTTGTGCTCTTGGAGGATGAGGCAGGTGTCACAGGTGCCACTGCTGCCACTCCAGGTTTGGGAAGAAAAGGACCCACTTCTGTACTGGACTGCTGACTCACACTATTGGGTTTTGCTTTCCCTTTATCTTCTAAAAGAAGCAAAATACGTATGTCATAATACACTGCACACAAAAAACCCATACAGTAATAGTCCTGTGGTTTTAGTGAACCTAACACAATGGGGGCCTAATTCACCTCATTTTATACAAGACAGCAGCATCCTTGAAATCTTGTTAAACTCCTACCACAAAATGTGTGTAATTTGACAAAAGGGGTGATTTTCCTGTTTTCAAGGTTAGCAGTGAATACCAATGACTTCAACAAATTCATGCCAGCTGTTGTTGCTGTCATGCTGCAGGTTTGGCCAGTTGAAAAGAGCCCAAGAAAACCCAAAGGCAGCCTGTGTTAAAGACTGGAGAGCACTCAGAAACACGTGAGGGTTTGCATCAGGGATTACAAAAATATTTCTGAAAAACAATATATTTGCCCTTGGAAAGGATTAAGTTTCTCAAAGTCACTGGGAGAACGCTGAAAAGCTCCAGTACCATCTTGACATATGATATCCCTCATTTCAGTTACAGGAGTTGATTATGGTACTACACACATGAACAGAGCTGCTAATATTTTTAGGTTTTTCCAAGAACAATTCCCCATATATCTGGAGATCAGATGGCTCCGATGTGCATTCAGTGCATTCCTGTATCACTTCACAAGCACGAGTCAATCATCTGTGCTCCTATGAGACAGGTACTTCATTCTACAGATGGCGATTGCAAGGCAAGAGATTAAATGTCCCAACTGTGCCTAAAGAGGAACTTTGTGCCAGAGCCAATATTTAAACACTCTTTGCCTATGTGTTGTCTACAAGAGTTCATTGCATTTTAAGCTATTCAACTGCAGGCCTTGTGACCACAAGCCATACTAGTTGCCAGCAGTAAAACAAGCTCACCTGTAACGAATATGGGATGGGAGGGAGACAGTACAGTTGTGCTGGTATAAGCAACCCTGACAAAACAGACATAAGAGTTGATTGCTTAAGTGACCTGTTGTCACTCTGAACAACAGGAATCAAATTTTATCATCTAAGCAAGTACAACATCTACATAACAGCAACCTCTTAGAAACTACTTCTATCCCATTTGAAACCTATGGCATAGTTTTAAATAGTGTTTAACTGATTTGAAAAACTAGGTTCTATTTTGAGTACTTGGATATTTTTAAATATGGGCCCTTGCACTTTATGTTTACATCTACCAGAGTCTGTCTTAACATCATTCTGTGTATCAGGCCAATGCTGTGCTACCAAGTATTCTGACAACAGGACTGTACCCCCTCCAACAAACACTTGAGAGTGCATATGAACTACGAACAGGCATCCTGAAACTAAAATCCAGAGTTGTTGGCACGTTTCCCAGAAGTGCATTGCACTACATCAATTTTAGATTGTTAAAAACCAGGAGAAAGAAAATTTAATAGAAGAATTATTATTTTTTAAAATAGCGATAAAAATACTTTGAAATTACATGACATGAACTGTATTAAACACTGAAAATTATTAAGTACAAAGACTACTCTTAGGACCAAATTAATGATAAAACCAGATTCTGAAGGCATTTTGATTGATAAAGTATGACACAAGAAAGTGATGTTAAATCATAGTTCATAGACTATTCAATTTTAATGTCTCTACAGTAATAAGTCACATCTGCAAAAATCTAGAACATATTATATGACTTGTGAGTCTTCATAAAATACATGGTTTTAATAAACAGCATTTGCTACCATTCTAAATTAAAGTGTTTTTAATATGGAAAGTTCTCAGAGGTGTTAACATCTACAAAGGAAACATGCTGAACTGCTGTCATTTGTGAATTCATATTACAGGAAAATAGAAGGCTTGTTGTTGTTGTTCTGTGCAATATTATGCCAGACTGGAAAGGCATAACACCAGGATATATGTGAATCTGAGTGCAACAAAGCAAGGTTCCTCAGTACTCTGCATTTCAGGCCTTAACAGAATAATACACCTGCAGAACTGCAAGCTGTATGTCAATATATAGAGACTACACTTCTAGTTTGTTGTGTTGTTTTGGTTTTGTTTTTTTTTTTTTTAACGTAAGTATAAAGATTTGGTGCTTTTGAAACACTTCCTGGAGATGGAAATCATCTCCTCCTGTGAGAGAGCAAGCGGGAGGGGGCCAGCAGGAGCGCCAGCTGATGGGCGCTGGGGTGGGACCCCCAGCCAGAGAGACTGAGAGATGGAGAGACTGCCTTGTGCAGCAACTGCACCGTTCACACTCTGGCCTGCTGTTTGAACTTCGCTGTTCAAACCGTTTGCAACAAGAAGGAGCAGATTTTTATTTCTTTGTTTTGCCATCAAGCGTCTGTGGAGTGAGATCCTGAGCAATGGAGTAAGATCCATTTTACACAGGCCACCAATTACCATCACAGAGTGATGGTTTTCCATTGCTGAATTTAAGAGATGATTGAAAAATGACAGATTTCATTTCGCACTTCTCCTCACTTAGCTGGCCACCAGCTGATGTAGTACGTCAACTTTTAAAATATTCCCTAGATTTACAGTGTTCTCACTGTTCATAATACAAAGCAATTCTAGAGTATATAATGTGTAACAAGCTAACAAGAAAACTTCTAGAAAACTAGAGAGAAGTTACCCGCATCCAGCTGGGCTCAATTCTGCCAGTATCGCAGCTTTTGGAAAGAACCTCAGTTCACATAATAATTCCATCATTTGGAAAGCTTCCTGACACAAATAAGCTCTTCATTGATGGGGATGTATAAGCAGAGACATACGCCCCTCTATGAATTAATGTTTCCTTCCATCATTCTAAATGCTTAATGCAGAACATCTTCAAAGATCATAATTGTAAGGTTATTATACAGTTTAACTCCCACAGAAAGTACACAGAGCTAAGTGCATATTTGTCACTGCAGTGGGGCCAGAATTGGGTTTTCCTGGCTTCTAAAATCAGAAAATTGCACTTCTCCAAATGGGATTTTGATAACAGCTTATTGTTTTCAATCCACAGAATTCAAAACACCATTACTTACAGTTTTATGTTTGAGACAGAAATGCCAAGTATTCAACTGTGCAAAGCACAGCAAATGCAAATCTCATGTATATACAAAGCACAAAGATTACTCTTTTATTTGTACTTATAGCACAGAGCTATCAAATAATATCTCCATGCAGAAATCAGAAATGTAACTGTTAATGCCTGCATGCATATACATACTTCCAAACTGTAATCACTGTATAAAATACATGTGGATGGTTAGATGCAGCTGTGGAATTATTGCCCTCTTGGTATTTCTGAAAGCAAGTATTACCGAGAACAGGCTCAAATTTGCTCCGATTTCCACCTGGGCCAAGCCCATGGAGCCCAGCAGAGCCAGGCAGAGGCCAAACAAGTGCATGAGTGAGTCCATCCTGCCCAGGACCAGGGACACACCGGCTTCTGCTGCACAGCTCTGCAGGGCACCTCTGGAAGCAGGAGACCACGGTGGTATCAGCCTCCTCCCAGAAAACTGTAGCTGTGATTCCACCTGCATCAGGGTCAAGTTGAAATGCTCATATTGCAACTCACATGCAAGAGGTTCATTTAAAATCTAACCCGTACTGTTGCACCGTATCTATGTTCTTTTTCCACATAGAAAGGTCATATTTCATCTGTGTTAAACTCCTGTTTTTTAATTAAGTCTCCCTTTTCCTCAAGACTCCAAAGAAGTAAATCAATGGTTCATTTCAAGTTCTTAGTGAAGTCTGATTTTATTTTGAAATAGAGCCCAAGGAAAAAGTAAAGCAAGCTAATTAAGTATTGCTTTGGGCTCAGAAATATCAATGCTCTTGTCGCCTGCTTACATTGTTTCAATTCTGCTTTGAAGTTGTTTTCACATATTTCTGGTTGCTTGCCTTACGTTTGTGTCAGCACCATGTTAAAATTCAAGACTTATTTATCTAATTAGTACTGCCTCATTTCAGCTGTACGTATCAAAGTCAGGACACAGCGCAGGATAACATCTTACAGGTTCAAATCTAACAGGTTCTAGCTTCCAATGCATGACCATCTGAAGTGATTTACCAATCTTTGCAGGTCGTGCGACTCACACAACAGTTGCTACAGCATAATCTATAGGATCTACCCATTAATGCTGAAATTCTAGTCCAGTAAGTGAACGGGTTTTGCCCTGGCTCAAAAAAGGGCAAAGATGTTACCGCAAAACTCCTTCCCTCTGACACTCAACCTGCATCTCTTCTTTCAGTTATTTTCTTTCCTGGGGAACAACTGAATGTGTATGCTCTGCCCCAGCTTATAGTCCAGTAATCAATGCAGTCCATGCAGAAAGCAAAAAGAAAAAGAATAATATTTTTTTTTAATCCTCCTAACCATTCCATTAAGCAGTTTGGTTTATAAGGCATCTTTAAGAGAGTTCCCTTGGTCTACTTTGTGATTTGTGCGAAGTGTTTACAACTTTAACACACATGTATCTTTGCACATTATAAATTTATATTTTAAAATGATCTCTTACCATACTAAATTGTGCCTATAGGTATTGCTTTCTACAGCTAGGAAATAACTTTTTTTTTTTTGAGTGAGAGTGACAATTTTCGTGCACATTAAGCAGAAGTTCTAATTTGCACTTCATGATGAAAATATACATGCTATTTTCAATAGAAAAGTAGCTTAAAATTCAAATCCTTAATTCAGAATAGAGATTCTTAATAAAAATAAAAATAAGGAGAATTCTAAAACTCATGTAAAAATCTAGAAATTCAAATGGTAAAGGTTTTCTGTATCAATAACACTCATTGCTACTTACGTGTCACAACACGTTTATCTGCACAGTTTTTATCACTGAAGATACACAAAACATAACTTTGCAATAAACTTCTGTTTCGCAACAGCTTGTTCAAATAGCAATCGAAATTAAAAGATTATCCAAGGTAAAGATGATATATGTGATATACTCGCAGGAGCCCTTTCCAACATGCATGCCAAAAGCTTTCAGATAACAGAGTTCTGCTATGATCCTAATAACCCTTACAAAACCATCACATAAATTTTCT